TTTGCAACAAAATCCCTTCCTGTCCTGTGTCAGCTGCAGCTTTTGCTCCCCTCCGTGGCTGAAGGGCCCCCCAACATTTGGAGGGGGGTTGCGCAGTATCAGTCTTTTCATCGCCCCCAATCTCCCTTCCCTTGGGGTCAGATCCCCATGGGTGGGTGTGGGTGCCCTGCTCCCGAACATCACAGGATTATCCAGGCTCTGCAGCCCACCCTGTTCCCAGCCACGTGCCAGGGACGGGGTGAAGCCCCTTGCTGCTGTGAAAATCAGCTGCTGCCTGGGCCCGTGTGTGTGCTTGTTGTGCATAACCTGTTTAGTCACGGGCTTCTGCCACCTCCGCCAGCCTCTGACTCTGTTGATTTAAAATCTGCAAGCACCTTGCTTTTGCCTGGGTTTTGGCTGGGGCAGCAGCCCCGGCCTCAGCACAGGCGAGCACACCCGTGGGGCGGTGCCTGGGATGCACAGCCTGTGTCTGTGAATCCAGCCCAAAGTCATTGCCCTGCTTGAACGAAAGTCACCCCAACTTTGCTGTTTCTCACTTCTCTGTCCTGCTACACTGACTAAAAGCAGCCACATGACTTTGCCTCTCTGGATACTCCCCAGCTCCTAGAAGGTGCAATTCTAGACAAGCCAGCTGGGATGAGAACAGAGCAGCTTGGGCAGGAGGCTGAGAGCACGGCCATCGAGACAAGCACGAAGAGCATCAAAAACACGAGGGTGTGGAGAAATTGGGCAGGGCTGTTCAGATGAGACAGCAGGAGTGGGGGTAAACGAATGAATACAGACCTTTAAAATGGATGCCCCTCTCAAGTGATGTCCCCAGCGTGCTCGGGGGTCCCCACCCTGGTGCAGCCCTTCCAGAGGTGAACAAACACACTGCTCCCACTGATCCCTTTTCTGGGGGCTGCACTGACCCTGTGGCCATGCCCGGAGATGGGGAGCATGGCCATGGCCGCTGCCATTGTCTCTCTTGGGAGAGGGCAGGCAGATGAAGGTGGCACAGAAATGGCACCCGGGAGCCTGCCTCACTCTGCTCAACCACTTCTCATCTTGTCCCACTGGCTTCAGCTCCTGCTCCCTCCCTGCTGCATCTCCACACAGCTGCCCCAGAGCTGGGACCTTCCCCTGGGGAGCAGGGAGAAGAGGAGGGGAGACGGCTGGGTACAACGGGGGGAGAAGTGAGCATGCGACTCACCGAGCACATCACTCCACAGTTCAAAAATCACCAAGAATATGATTTTGCAGTATGTAATTGCTGGTTTTGAGGAGGCTGTGACAGGGTTTGTGTTCTCTGGAGGAAATCAAAAGATGAAACGTTGAGCAGCACTGAAAAAAATATCTCTCTTAATATGTGGTTTGCATAATAATATAGCACGAGTTTATGATGCAATTCAGTTGCCTTCCTAAGAGATTGGGTAACCAGGATAAAAAAAATTGGTCCTTTGGGGTCCTGCTTCACTCACCCAAAAGCTCTTTTCTCAGAAAGCCTCGAGAGTATTTCATGAGCATTTTTGTGACCCTGGAAAGCTAAAAACAGGTCATAACACAGCGATCCCCAAAATGTAAAGAAATAAGGGTCTTCTTGAGACACACTCAGGATGCCTGTGCTGGTTTTGAAGCTGGTGTGAGCCAGGCTGGCAGGTAGGTGCAACAGGACTTCAGGCAGACCTAGGAGGAAAGGGCAGGGAAAAGAGGGCAGGGTGCCGTGGCTGAAGGCACGTGCCATGCGAGGCACCAGCGAGGTGATGGGCTACCTCTCTTCAGCTGCTGCAAGGTGACTGGCTTTCCTGGTTTGAGTAGGGGAGTGATTGTGGCAGCTCTGGGGCAAGGTGTGGTTGGCACCACATCCTCTCTGCTACCAGCGCTGTGGTGGGCTACTGCCCAACTCCGCACAGCCTCCCATAAGGACATGAGGGAGGTGTAAGTCCTTCTCACTGCATATCCTTATCTCATGGATGAGTGACACACATGCCATAAAGGCAGCAGCGATATGTTGCCCTGGCTCCAGAGTCGCGACCAGCATGTGGGTTCCTCTTTCCTAGCACAGAGGCCTCCCTGTCGAGTGGGCTGAGACCTGGCAGCTCTGGAGCCTCCTTGTTCCCACATCTGCTGCAAAAGCCAGGGAAAGGAAAGCAAGGTGCCGAGACAGGGCTAGGTCCTGGTGGCATCTCCTCGGCTTCCCAGCCAGCAGGATGGGGTCCCTGTGAAGCAGCCTGTGGCTCCATCTAGTGCCCGTGCCAGCCCGGCCCGGGCCAGCCCTGCACCCATTGCTGGGCAGATGGGCCGAATCAGAGCCCCTGGCAGCCGGCGAAGGCACCCTGGCCAGAGAAAGCCACCCCAGGGAGCCCGCTCCCTGCTCCTCGGCAGGCAGGTATAGGAGGGCAGCACTGCAATGGCATCCAGGAAAAAATCCCCAACAGTAGGGAATACTCCAAGCAGTCGCTCAAGGAAATCATCAAGTGCTGTCTGACAGCAGCGGATGGGTGTCCCGTCCCTTGGAGAGGAGATGCTCCTTGGCAGAGGAAACGTCCTTGGCATTTCACCCGTCCCGGTGCTCACCCAGGCCCACTGCTCATGGCTGGGGAAGGCTCTTCTGGGGGATGGCTGTCCTGAAACTGGTCCCTGAGGAGCGCTGGGAATGGCCTGTTTCAACACTCAGGTCTCCCCAGCCTGCCAGGTAAAGTGGCACTGGGAAAGTTTGCCAGGCTTCCCAGCTAGGGAGTTACCGGAGGTAAGGAAGATATCCCAGCTGCAGCGCAGGGGTGGCGGGGGTCCAAAAGGCTCTGGCCCTGCAGAGAGACCAGGCTCTCTCCTTCTCCCATCCAGACAGCAAGGGGGAACAGTATGATCTCTGTGGCCAGGACAGGTTCATGGGTGTCAGTGAGTGGCCTTAAGACTGCCCACGACCCTGAGGATGGGTGAGAACAGCCCCCCCGCAGCGGCTGCCCGGGCAGGGGCCGTGCAGAGGGAAAGTCCACATCAAAGCTCTCGGTGCGTGGCCGTCCCCTGCGCCCCGGTGCTCCGGGTGCCTGGGCACCCTGGTGCTCGGGGTGGCTCGTTGTCGCCGGCCCCTCTCTGCCTGAGCAGGGCTGGGGAGGGCGCAGGGCTGGTGATGCTTTGCCGGGGCCATAGTGCTGCCAGGCGGCTCCGGCTCCTGGCAGGGACCCGTGCCGCCAGCCTGGCAGGCTGCACCCCTTCATGTCGTCGCCCCCCCGCCCCGCGGCGGGACGGCCCGGGCAAAGCGCTGAGTCACCCCGGCTGTCCCCTCCCGCTGGCCTTTCCTGCAGGAACCAGTCGGGCAGCTGACTCGGCAGGAGGCCAGCGGCAAGCGGAGCCCGGGGGCTGCCCCGCGGCGGTGGCCGTGCCCCGGTGTGCTCGCAGCACTGGCTGCACCACCGGGGCCAGCGAGCGAGGTCAGTGCTCCCCCCCCTCTCCGCCCCCCTCGCCGGTGCTGCCCCGGGCACACACGCAGCCCCTGGAGGCGGGAGGGCGGGCGCGGAGCTGGGGGGCCCAGAGCGCAGCCAGAGGCAGGCAGACCCTGCCGGGCGCTCCCGCCGCCGCCTGGTTTTCCCGCACCGCCCTCGAGGGTCCCACGC